GAAACATAAATGATTTGATTGATGAGGGATATTAATTAATTTTATTCATTAATTGAATTCCTATTAAAAATTACATGTGAATAAAAATTTACTACTATATTCGACACGAATAGAATGCTTAATTGGAATACTTTTTGTCTTCTGCTGTTCCACTTGGGGCCAAGATAGCACGATTTTTCATTGATGCAATTCGTGAAAGGATGGACTTGTCCTCTGAAGCGGGACATTCGTTGGTGGCATCGCGCAGCTGTTGCGTCGGACTAGAATCAGAACAAGCTCTCGGGGTTTCGTAATTCTTTCCACCTTGTTCCCTCTGATTTCTCTTTGCTTGTTGAACGATGATACTTTGTTCCGGCGTGGATAGAACGATTCGTTTTCCCGACGAGCAGATTGAATCTTGTCAAGGTTGACTCAAATGCTTTTTACCCTTCGGAAAAACTGTCTTTTCTTTTGGAATAATTTGAAGTGAAGTTTGAAGCTTCCTAGCCATGTATCATCAATAATGATTGATTTATGCTTTCCAATTATCTTATGTGCTCTCTTGCAAACCTCTTCGACCTTTGCAGTTTATAAGTTTTGTACAACTTTCATATTATTTAAAAATAAACCTCAAATCATTATCAATAATAAATTACACTGTAGACTTGAAACAATTAGAAAAAAAATGATTTATGAGAAACGCCTAATTCATTGATATACTCAACTCTAATTTATTGTTTTTTGCATCTCTGAATTGCAGATACCACAGGCTGCGAATCATAAGCAGGAGGGATGTGATAAACAGTCGTCGACGTTCTACACAACCAAACAACATTTCGTAGTCCTGATTCTAATTTCGCAGTGATTTGTGTAAATGTGGATTTAAACATAATAAACGAAAGAATTTTAATAAGACAAGAGAACCTTAGTGGACAGTAAAGCAACCTGAAACACATGTTTTTAATTCATTTGAAATCTGGTACTGTGGATCAGAAATGGACATCAGGCGATCGTTAATTATTATAAATAATCATTTATTAACAAGAACCTTTTACGATGCTAACAAACGAATTAAGACACTTATTTCGCAAAGGACCCACTTGAAAATACAAAAAGTGCAACTACGATCTATTAAAGAATATCCTCAGTAATAAAACATTTCACTTGGACCCTTCTTAGAGAATCTACAAACATTTAGTTAAAACTGTACAAAATGTGAAAAGTACTCATCGCTTATGCTACGTGCCAGCAGCTCAAGATAAAAGATTTTACTTCACTGTGATCTTTCATAATTAAAAGAGATCGAAGGGGAAACAGTCAGGCGTATAACCATGATAAAATAAAACACGGCGGTCGCTGAACTTATTCATCATGTTGAACGTAATGGCAGCGGTGACCACTAGCTTGCCTAGCCGCGTGGATCCAACGCCAACTCCGACTGGTAACGCGAGCACCACGTCGAGCACCGCGGGGAACAACGTCACCTCGGTACCCGTGGAGAATCCAACAGTGGAGAATCTGCCGGAGAACGTGAACGTATTCGTGGTGGTGATCAAGGGCATCATTATGGGCAGCATAATCACCACCGCCGTCCTCGGTAACGCATTGGTGATTGCCAGCGTCCGGAGGCACAGGAGACTCCGCGTGGTGACGAACTGTTACGTGGTCAGTTTGGCAGCAGCCGACCTCCTAGTGGCGATGTGTGCGATGACGTTCAACGCGTCCGTCGAACTATCCGGGAAGTGGTTGTTTGGAAGATTCATGTGCGACGTGTTCAACTCGCTGGACGTTTACTTCTCCACCGCTTCGATACTCCACTTGTGCTGCATCAGCGTGGACAGGTACTATGCGATCGTCAGTCCGCTGGAATACACCGTGATCATGAGACAGGAGACTGTCGGCTGTATGCTAGGCAGTGCCTGGCTACTGCCGGCGCTGATCAGTTTTATACCGATCTTCATGGGCTGGTACACTACGCAGGAGCACCTGGATTACATGGTGAAGAATCCGGAGGTGAGGATTCCGTTTACTTAATCGATTGGACAAACTGAAAGATAACAGCGTTTAATTTAAGGATGTATAAGCTATATACTTAAACAATGATAGCATGTTGAATTTGTTATTATAGATTCCTATTACTATTAAAAAGCTACCTGCAAAATTTTAAATCAATTCATGGGTTTTTTGAAAAATTATAGTGACTTAAAATTTGCATGTACTCTTATGGTAATCAGCAGTAACCCAAAGAAAACTTTCTGCTATTTGGTGTGCGAAATTGGAAGAAACAACTGACTTGAGGAAATACAAGCCTAAAAATTCTGAAGTTTTTG